GCTTAAAAGAACATAAATGGGAAATGTCTATGTTTTATGACAAGAGCCTCAGATAAACTGAGATTGCACAAGGGCTGGCACAGAATAATTTCAAGTCTTGGGACCTGGTCTTTGGGCACATATTATATGCCTTTGTTGAGTTGGGGAATTATTGCCTTACTTAGTAGCATACATTGTTTCTGACAAGGCCTTTTAAAAAGGAGAAGATTTGATTGCTCAGGGCTTTTCAGATATAATATGCTTCTCACCCCATCTGAGGTTGCTGAGTATTACCACTGTCTTGAGTGAATTCTAGTGAAGAAAACAGGGAAACTTGCTCAGCTGTGTAATTTGGTAGATATCACTGCTGAGTAATTAATAAAATATCTGTAAGTTTTGTGTCTTTGAATTCATCTCCAATTTTTTGGATCTAGGTCTGAGACATTTTTTGTATGTGAGCTGGATAAGTAAAAATGATCTAATAGCTTATGTGGGAGGAGAGGAAACAAGGCTAACATAGCACTCCTCTCATGTCAGAGTACACTAATATTAAGCCTGGTACATGATGGTAAAAGAATCAAAGATTTATTAGGCACATTCCATTGTTGAGAAGAAAAGGGGAATTTATCCTGATGGATCCTAAAGGAAGCATATTAGAGACTAACCCTTTCTAATTGCCCCAGAATGGTTGGAGGGAACAAGTTTAGCTGAAAGGCAGACACTAGGAAGAAAAAGCAGAAGCCGACAGCAGTAGCCTAAAGGGGTGGTAGTACATGGAGTTGCTGATCACCAGGGCAATGGAGCCATGAGCAAAAAATGTATGCCTTCTACCATCCTTAAGAAAGATGTTGCTGAATAAACATAATATTTCTGAGGAAAGCCCTGGAAGATCTTGGATACAGAATATGATCAAATGTGTCAACAGCTGAAAGATTTGATCTCCTGAGATTTCTAAAGTTAGTACGTGCCCCAGATTCTTCTTCTGTCAATGAATAGAATATGTTCCACATTGTCCTTCACCACGACCAGTGGTTTCAGTTTAGGTCTTCTACATGGGAAATGTCTGAAACTGAAGTTGACAGTATACCTATTTCTTTCAGAAAAAAATATCTCCAGCAGTTGAGTGATATGGTTTCGCTCCGTGTCTCCACCCAAATCTCATGTTGAGCTGTAATCATAATGTTGCCATAATGGCACCTGACGGGGATTGATCAGGAGGGCAAATTTCCAGTTCTCATAACAGTGAGTTCTCATGAGATCTGATTGTTTAAAATTGCATAGCACTTCCCCCTCTCACTCTCTCTTCCACTCTACCATGTGAAGAAGGTGCTTGCTTCCCCTTCACCCTTCTGCTATGATTGTGAATTTTCTGAGCCCCCCCCCAATCATCTTTCCTGTACAGCTCATGGACCTGCTGTACAGGAAGATTAAACACCTTTTCTTCAAAAATTACCCAGTCTCAGGTAGTTTTTTATTGCAGTGTCAGAATAGACTAATACAGAAAATTGGTACAAGATAAATGGGGCTTTGCTATAAAGATACTTGAAAATATGGATGTGACTTTGGAATTGCACAATGGGCAGAGGTTGAAACAGTTTGGAGGGATCAGAAGATGACAGAAAATGAGGGAAAGTTTGGAACTTCCTAGAGACTTGTTGAATGGTTGTGATCAAAATACTGATAGTAATGTGGACAGTGAAGTCCCAGCTGAGGAGGTTTCAGATGGAGATGAGGAACTTATTGGGAACTGGAGCAAAGGTCATTTTTGCTATACTTTAGCAAAGAGACTGGTGACATTCTTCCTCTGCTCTAGAGATCTGTAGAACTTCGAACTTTATGGAAATGATTTAGTGTAGCTGGTGGAAGAATGTGCCTAGGCTCAAACAGGCCAAGGTATAACTCAGGCCATTGCTTCAAAGGGTGCAAGCCCCAAGCCTTGGCAGCTTCCAAATGGTGTTGGGCCTTTCAGTGTGCAGAAGGCAAAAGTTGAGTTTTTAGGGACCTATGTCTAGATTTCAGATGATTTATATAAATGCCCAGATGTCCAGGCAGATGTCGTCTGCAGGGGTGGAGTCCTCATGGAGAACTTCTACTAGGGCAGTGCAGAGAGAAAATGTGGGGTTGGAGCCCCTACACAGAATCCTCACTAGGGCACCACCTAGTGGAGCTATGAGAAGAGGGCCACCATCCGCCAGACCCCAGAATGTTAGATTCACTGATAGCTTGTACCATGTTCCTGGAAAAGTCACAGGGGCTTAATACCAGCATGTGAAAGTAGCTGCAGGACCTGCACCCTGAAGAGACACAGAGGTGGAGCCTTGAGAGCTTATTCTTTGCATCGGCATGACCTGAATATGAGACATGGAGTCACAGGAGATTATTTTGGAGCTTTAAGATTTAATGACTGCCCTGCTGGGTTTTGGACTCACATGGGCAAGTTCTCCTTTTTGGAATGGTAGTGTTTACCCAATAACTAGACCCCTATTGTGTCTTGGAAGTAACTAACTTCATTTCGATTTTAAAGGCACATAGGCAGAAGGGAGTTTCTCTATCTCAGATAAGACTTTAGATTTGGACTTTTGAGTTAATGCTGGAATGAGCTGAGACTCTGGCAGACTGTTGGGAAGACATGATTGGTTTTGAAATGTTGAGAAGGACATGACATTTGGGAGGGGCCAGGGGCAGAATAATATGACATGGCTCTGCGCCCCCACCAAAATCTCATGTTTAACTGTAATCCCTAATATTGGGAAAGGGACCTAGTGGGAGGTGATTGGATCATGGGGACAGAATTGCTCCTTGCTGTTCCCATGATAGTGAGTTCTCAGGTGATTTGTTCATTTAAAGGTATGTGCCATTTCCTGTTTTTCTTACTCTCTCCTGCTGCACCATGTGAAGAAGGTGCTTGCTTCCCCTTTACTCTTCTGCTATGATTTTAAGTTTCCCAAGGCTCTCCCAACCATGCTTCCTGTAAAGCCTACAAAACTGTGGGCCAATTAAACCTCTTTACTTCATAAATCACCCAGTCTCAAGTAGTTCTTTATAGCTATGTGAGAATGGGCTGATACACTGGGATGCCAGTTCAATAAGCACTTTGTCCAGTTTTGGTTAATTGAGGTAGGACTGATTGAGCTTCATGGGAAAGAGATTCTCTAGATCAAAGGTTCCCACACAGATCCCCTAAAATAAGGGGTGATTGAGCACATAAACCTAAGTGAGAGTGAGTTTACTTTCAGTGGTCTAAGCACAAAACAGATGAAATTGCCTTTTACCCTTGATTATTGGGTGTGAAAGGAAGAAGCAATGTTAAGAATAAAGAAACTATGAATCTATAATCCAAGTGTGTATGTGGTAATTACTCTTCTGCAAAAGGTGAGGATATTATTCAACAACTATGGCTGGTTATCAGGAATTAATGGGCCAGAAAGATTATGTGAAATGCAAGTATGTTTCAGAATCCCAGCATGCAAATTTAGGAGTGATTTAGGACTGATTGCAAACAATTTGACCATAAAAATTTCCAGTGAAAATTTTTTTTGCATACCAGGGCCCAGATATTAAGTATATTTCTGTTCATTTGTAATGAAGAGTATATGGTAATAAAAAAGACACATCCTTTGCCTCATATGTAATTTCACATCGCAAATATCTAGATAATTCATAAGGCATGAAAAGGTGAGGCCAGAACATTAGTGCACATTGAGCTACTGAATTTTCTGTAATGTAATGATAGCGGAAATGTATAACAAAAATTTTTAAAGAGAAGCAGTTGTATAATGCCCCATACCACCCCTGATAAGATAGATGACCTAAGGAAAGAAGTGCTCAAGTATTTGCTCTTCTGCACTTTCAAATGTGAAGACACAACCATTTATTTACTCCCTGACTTCCTTTACTTGTTCTTTTCATAAAATGTCTCTATGCTGAAGTGTTTAGGGTTAGGAAACCCAGAAGAAATATTTTTCAGCCTTATTCAAAAACTGTCCTTTTTTGATATTTGATTCTAGTGTCTCAAATACATTTTAAAAATATATTAGCTTATCTCCTTTTTTTGTCAAATAGAGATTAAAATTGGCACTAGCTTCTTGTGTTTGTTAATTCTGTTCTTTAGGTCTTAAGGTCTTTCAGGTATTTTGCCCTAAAATTTAAGGAAAACACAATGTACCTCTTCTGTGAATGGGAGAACTATAATATATGTAAGTTGCATACAATAATCCTTCATCAATTGTAGAGTTTAAGTCCCTGAAAAGGGACTGAACAAAGTCAGCAAAATCACAGATCAGATCATACAAAACAGGGAATTTGAGGAAAACTATTTTTAAACATAAATATTTTCAGAAAACATCCACTTCTAAAACACATCTGTTTCTCCTGATAAGCTTTCTCTAGAATCATCTTCTCTGAGTTTATTCAGGAAATAACCATGGGAAGTTGTTATCTACTAGGGAAGGGTCACCCACAATTTTATAGTATATAGACAACACTTCATAGTAAAAATATTCACCTAGACCTAAATGGAATGTATTTAGAAGTTATATCTCACCTTACTTTATTTGATCAAGACTTCAAAAATGCTTCTGTGCCTTCCTGGATTTTTCTTTTAATGGAGTTTCACTCTTGTTGCTCAGGCTAGAGTTCATGGCTCACTGCAATCTTCACTTCCAGGGTTCAGATGATTCTCCTGCCTCAGCCTCTCTAGTAGCTGAGATTACAGGCATGCGCCACCATGCCCAGCTAATTTTGTATTTTTAGTAGAGATGGTGTTTCTCCACATTGATCAGGCTGGTCTTGAACTCCTGACCTCAGGCAATTCACTTGCCTTGGCCTCCCAAGGTGCTGGGATTACAGGTGTGAGCCACCATGCTCGGCTCCTGGATTTTTTACAAATCATAACAGGGGTTATGAGCACCCTTCCTGAGCCTAGCCTTATATCAACACATCAAGACGTGGAGTGTAGAGAGTTAGCATCTTTAACACCTCTCCCAAAGGGCTATCAACCAAATTTATACAAAGAGAAAGGATTAACATTGATAAATTCATCAGTTTAATGGTTCTAAAATAAAAAATGTATGTTAAAGGGCTATATAGCTTTAAAATTGTGTAACACCCATTTGTCTGCATTATCTCCCAACTGCAGTCATCAACATGGTGATTAATTTGGAATTGCTGTGCTCACATTTTAATACATTATACAATGACAGACTCACTTCTCCCTTTCTCCCTAAGCCTCCTTATTTTATTATGAAAGTGATAATCTATGGCAAATGTGAGTTTCACTGAATGTCAGGTATAAGTCACCAGAGAAAACTAAGGCAAAAGAACATTTGCCACTTGCCAAAGCTCATTCATGCACAACCACAAGGATGCATTCTATCTTGTGAGGAGATGGTGTGGGTGAGTATTTACATTAACATGGGAACATCTTGTTCATATCATAATGAGCAAGCCAAAATGAGCATGTTAATGTATTTGAGCAGATGTGTAAACGTTATACTTGAAGAAAGGGTGATGCAGTTCTTCTACAAAAATTCTTTTGCCTAATTTATTTCAGTATATTTTTGGAGATCTATTACACTGCAACATAACATAGGTGTAAAAATAGGATAGATTTATGTAATCCTCACAATAAGTAAAATCTCGAGCCTCAGTGCCATAGGCTTGATATTCAGTGAGTCTGAAGGCTGACGATCCGATCTGTCCTCCTCTCTACCATGTCTCCACCCCTCATCAGGGTGCTGCATAAAACATATTAGATATTCCATAAATATTTTTGATGAATTAATGAGTTAACAAACCACTCTTCATGTAAGCTATAGCCTTTCTAATTGTTTACTATGTAGGTGTCATGCATTTGAGCTCTGATTTTGACTTCATTTTCCCACTGGCACTGGGCATCTGCTCTGAACCCTCTTTATGGGGCCTTACCAACCATCTCCCTTTTAAAGGCTTCCTCCTCTGAGGGTTGAACCCTGTCTACCATGTACCATCTCCTAATAGATTAGTTACATTTGAGATGTTACAGTTGGCTTTGAATACAATTTATTCTCCACATTTGTCTCTGTTGTGCTTCACCAACAAAATTTAAATTTATTGAGTATGGAACATATGACCTAGGTCTTGAGGTTTATGTAGTCCTATTTATTCACCTTTGTGTCTATAGTGAGGACAGTTATTCCCTTTCCTATTTGTCTTTTCTTTAAGAGTATGCTCTTGGTGCTCCAGCTTGTGCCAGGGTCAAATTTCCCGGAGTTATAAACAGCAGAAGGAAGGACAGGGACAAAGGGTAGAAATTAGAGAAAAGTGTATTTTAGGTCACTATAAGAAAAAACTGGCCAGGCATGGTGGCTCATGCCTGTAATCCTAAAACTTTGGGAGGCTGAAGCAGGAGGATCATGAGGTCAGGAGATCAAAACCATTCTGGCCAACATGGTGAAATCCCACCTCTGCTAAAAATACAAAAAATTAGCCGGGTTTGGTGGCACATGCCTGTAGCCCCAGCTACTCAGGAGGCTGAGGCAGGAGAATTGCTTGAACCCAGGAGGCGGAGTGCAGTGAGCTGGAATCACACCACTGCACTCCACCCTGGGTGAGAGCGTGAGACTCCACTTAAAAAAAAATTAATAATCTTACCAGATTACCAAAATGTTCAAATATGAACTGCATGACCATGTATTAGGGGAACAGTAAAATAAAGTCCTATGTTCGGCCAGGCGCGGTGGCTCACGCCTCTAATCCCAGCACTTTGGGAGGCCGAGACGGGTGATCATGAGGTCAAGAGATCGAGACCATCCTGGTCAACATGGTGAAACCCCATCTTTACTAAAAATACAAAAATTAGCTGGGCATGGTGGCGCATGCCTGTAGTCCCAGCTACTTGGGAGGCTGAGGCAGAAGAATTGCCTGAACCCAGGAGGCAGAGGTTGCGGTGAGCCGAGATCGCGCCATTGCACTCCAGCAACTGGGAAAAAGAGTGAAACTCCATCTCAAAAAAAAAAAAAAAAAAAAAAGTCCTATGTTCGTAAAAAGGACCACATACACCTTTATATCTGTGGCCAGTGGCTCCTTTTCTTCAACCCCATGTGAAAGGATATGTCAGATTTTCCCCATGAATTTTAAAGGATTTGTCTATATTATGAAGACCTTATAACCTCAAAGAGATACAAGTTACTGATTTCAAGTTAAAAAATAGTTAATGTGATCACCATAGTTACAATAAACTGGATCCTATTTTTAAAAGTACAGTTTTAGAAACAATCATATCCAGTGCTGGACCTCAGCTCTAATTCCAACAAGCAGTACAACTTTTGGCAAATTTATTTACCTTCCCAGAGAAAAATATCTGTTGAATAAGTTGAAAAAAATTTACCTTGCTGTACATGCACACACACACACATTTAGTATACACATACAGCATATATATGCTGTGTGTATAGTATACATATGATAGACATATATTCACATAGGTAAATTTTACTATGTCTTAAAATATGTTTTGTTTCTCTTCAACATGCGTCTGGTAGTAGATGCAGTTGGTACTAATGGCTAAGTGTCTTTGCATTCATATAGCTTATTTAACTGGTACTCTGCTAAATTCCTCATTGCATTGCTACTTTTATTTGTCACAACATTATGAGAGGAAGAACTATATAGATAGAAAAGCAAGGTTTAGAGCACTTAAGATATTCTCCTAATATGGCTAGTAAGAAGCACAGTTGGTGTGGCCTTTGGGCAGTTGTGATAGCAGATCTAGATTTTTAATTTCTAAGTGATGCTGTCAAACCAGTGCTACCCTGGATGGAATCACACTGTCATTTTCCTATCATTGATAATACCCGAGAAAATTTAGTCTCAATATGATGATGTTGGGAGTGATGCTGTGTAGCTTACTTTTCCTATTCCGTAAGAATCATGTTACCTCAAAGTATGCAATCCAGAGAGCTGGAAATAGTTCGATTAATGACAATTAGAGCTGCTCATATTTGAGTAACACAGATCTAAGAAGATGAAATGCATTTTTAAAATGCCGGCAGTGTTTGTGGGTGAGTTGTCCAAAGTGCAATCAACACTTGTGATGTCTTTCTTTAATAAGGGTGTACACTTTTCTACTGTGTTTGAGCAGTAACTCACTTCTCTAGTGAATTCTTTTATGAGGAAAATAATTATTTACTCATTCTTATTTGGGTCAAATCTTGATTTTTATGTATCTGATTTGATTGCCCTATATCTGTAGTTATCTGCAGAATTGTACTATGGCTGCTGAAATTTACCTCCTCAACACTAATGGCTTATGTGGACATTTGTGGATTAAAAAACAAACCAGTGAACACTAAATTTATAAGGCAAGTTTCTGATTCCCCATCATCTCTGTTAATTAATCCTCACCTTTAACTTTGGAATGTAGTCATTTGAGCCCCTGCTATCACAAGATCATTGTGGATGAAATTCCATTCAATACATGAGTAATGCACAGAGATTGGAGAAGACACTGCATTGGCAGTTTCAATCAGCAGGCTAAAGGCATTGATTTCTTTTATATGTGAGCTGATTTTGGTAAAGTGCTTAGCTTCCTTGGGCCTCAGTACACTTCCATTGGGAAGTGGCAGTAAAATCGATTGTTTTCCATCCTTCACAGAGTTTATCAGAATCAAATAAAAAATAATATGTGAAGGCATTTTATTAAGCACAAAGTGCTTCAAATTTGAGTTTTCATAATAATTTTAATTAATGGTGTGGTGTCTTCAAAATTTCTTTCAGGCAAGGTTACAGGATACACCTTACTGGCTGAAGCTCTCTTATTTATTTTTTTTTGGAAGCATCACAGCAAACATGAGTCATTGAGAGAACTATTATTACTATAACATTCATAGTAAGTAATAATAGCAACTACAGTACACACAATAAATGCTCATACTTTGGGGACTTAGAGAAAATCAGAACATGGATCTTTAACATGAAGCTGCCCATCAGCAACATTTGCTACATGTCTCTCCTTCCTCTCTTCTTACATATGAGCTTTATTTTCCTACAGGTGTTTCTGGGTTTTTATTGCCCATGATCTGGAATGGCTTTCTATCCAAGGATACTGGCTTTGATATGATGATCCTGCTTTGTAATTTTTATTCAACTTTTCTGCCTTTAAAATATCATGTGCTATCATCTCATAAGCATTTAACTAGTAATGTGATAAATGTCCAAACATATAACACATTCCTATTATTAAGCTGAATTGAATAAGGTATTAATAGGATACCTTGACTTTGATGTCATCATATCCTAAGAACATTCTATTTGGTTAGAAACTTCTAAACCTTCCTTCAGAAGTAAGAAATAAAATGATCACAATTTTGGCTAGAAGAATTTTGACCTCTAATCTTTCATTAATATGACTTAAAATTTGGGTTAAAAATTAATTCGCTGCCAGCATTTTAATATATGAGGATATGTCACAAAGTCCCAGCTTTCTGACTTCTCTTGGAATATCAGCACATGTAGCAAGATTGGGTCCTCCCTAGCACCAATAGCAGCCACTGAGGAGCAGCTGGTTCCTTTGGAAGGGTAAGATGTGCTCAGTGCACTAGGGTCCCCACCTGTTCCACTTCATTTATGTATGTCATCTGCCTGGCCCCTGTAGGATCTGAGTTTATGGCCTTTGTTGAACTCACAGAAATAACCTAATTAAATCCTATCTCATAACCAGTTAGTCATGAGTGAAATCATGAACAGATGGTTTAAGGTGAACATATGTTGTTGATCTGTTTCTCTTATTTCATTAACCATTTTGCCAGCATTTAAAACAGTCTAATCATATGCCACAAACCATAACTGGAGCAGCAGTTTATAGGGTGATAATCTAGAGTATCTTCGAACTGTTTATTTTTAAATTCCAAGTGAAAGCTGCTTTGAGGTTTGATCTGCAGTTTAAGGTAGAATTTTATCAGCACAGTAAATGCCAGTTCTAGGCATGTTCCAAATTCTGTACCTCACACGTCTCTGTGATGCCAGAGTATTCGAAGGAACATCTGTGGAAGGATATTTACCACATACATTTATGAAGAATAAAAGACCTCCTATGAAATGTCACCATGAGTGATAGGTTAGAGGCAAGGAGAAGGAGGCCTGGAGATGATGTTGGTAGCACTTTGAAGCTTCCAGAATTTTCTTAAGGCTTCACAAACTCCTTCCCTCATTCCCCATGCCTAAGATGAATAAAACTCATGCAGGTAAACCTAAGATAAATCAAAATGAAGTTATGTTAATAGCAGTGGGCAATTTAGCAAGATAACTATAAATAATACTGTTGTGAACAATTCCCCATTTTTTCTATTTGATTTTAAGAGTTCCATTTTTCTTAAATCAGTTTGTGAATATGTAGGGACCTGAAATTAAGGTGAAGGCCTACACTAAGGGTTCCAAAGCACATACTTGGTATATGCTACTGAAGTCTGTAGATCAGAAGCATAAAAAGAGTATTCATCATTCCCATGGTCTGAAACAAGATACAAAGCTAGAAGTTGCACATATAAAGGTTTGGTGTTAAAGCATTGCTAAGTCTGTGCCAACATGGAGAACTTTCAAGTATGGTAATGGCCATAGAGTGTGACTGGTAAAAGATCTGGGCATCCTGGATTCAAGGATCTTATCATTATTCACAGAAAGCCCTTCTACCAGCTTGGCTTTGGGCAGGCAGGTTAGCCTGGCCATCAACAACCTTCCTAATCATCACCAACAAACTGGACAATTATCCACTGGGCTAGACACAGAGTTCTCTAGGGAGAGATGGTAGAGCAAATACCAAGAGCACAACTCATCTGATATGTAGACAACCAAACATGTCCTGTACAATTAGGAATTAAAATGCTCTCTTAAGACCCATGTAACCTAGTGAGCTGCAGAGTGAATAACATACCATGTGTGAAAATATGAAAATCATCACAAAAGAGCATGATGATAGAGGTTCCACACCTCAGTTTAGCATTCCCTAGTTATGTAGAGTCAGATCAAATGTAGTATAATTAGGAAAAAAAAGGACAGATAAAAATAAATGTAATGATGGTCACAGGAAAATGGCAAATATATAGCATAAGGGAAGTTACTTTTTCTTCTTGATGAACTCACAGACAAAGTACATGGTAAGATGGCACTCTGTGTCATTCCATCTGCCAGAGCTGAGCATCTCCACACAGTCCTCATGACCAGAGGGGTCGCTGGGCTCCCCTTCATTCCAATTGCTATAGTTCTGCAGTGGAGTGTTGTCTGCGAACACATACTGTCCCTCCCTTTCAAGGTCATTCACGCCAATGAACACCCGAAAGAAGCCACTCTTGGCAACATAGTCAGCGATGAGTATGTTGGCAGCTTCATCCTTGGGCATGGCTAGCATTCCACCCCGAATCCTGCAGTGGGTTAGGGATTCCCTGTAGTTCTTCTCTTCCTGCACGATGTAGTAGAATTTCTCTTCAGTTTCCCTAATCCCTGCTATGACTGCAGGGAGGGAAAAAAAGAGTATCATGTATCTCAAAAAGATAAAGGGCAATAAAATTCTATAATATTGCCAGACTTGCATTTATTTATCCAATGTTCAAGAATTATTTTTCAAAGCACTATTATGAGGTGGTCACTGGTGTAATCATCCCTACCTCCAGTTATCAAATAGAGAACAAATATCTGCCATTTGCTCTCCCTTCCTTTTCTCCTCAACTTCTCACAGAGCTGTCCAGCTCGAAGTTGACAAAGATGTGCTACATGAACTTTCAGCCAGCCCATGTCATACTGTATTTCCCAACATAGTTTATGTTTAAGCTACACTTGTGGCCACACGAGCATGCCCTTTTCTCTTGTACTTCCAGGCCCTGAAAGTCTTTTCTACCTGGCAAGCTTCTACTCATCCTTTAGATCTCAGTGGAAATGTTTTCCCCAATAAGAAGTATTTCCAATGCCCTTGGATAGACATGGCAGTCACTCTTCCCCGTGTTTCCATTGCCCCTTTTACTTCCTCCTTCTAGCACTCAACACATTTTAGTCTCATTGTTTGCGTGCATTTCTCTCCTACTCAACTGTGAATGTCTTCAGGAGAATGACCATGTCTTTGACACTCTTTAGCCTCCTTACCTGGAATGCTTATGGGAATGGTCAATGCTTAGTGAAATGATGTAGGGATAATACATATGTTTATCCACATTGGATTGAATTCCTGGACTGTGAACATGTACATGAATTGAGATTGTTCATATTTCATCTCAGGTACAAGAGGAAGACTGAGCTATTGAGTTAGCCTCAGAACAGAAGTGGAGACTGAGAATTACCCTTCACTCATAATATGGCATGTATGTTTTGGGTGTCTGGGGCCTCTACATATGCATTTTAGGATCCACAAATTTAATTCATGAAGATATATGATCACTAAAATGTGCAGAATTATTGTTCTATGTTCTCCCTGTATGGTCTGGTTTATTCATGATAGTCTAAGTCATATCAGAGACAGAATCTTCAGTACCAATTACAACTAGAGTTATAATTAGTATAGTTAGTTAATATCAAGTATTTCCTTTGCCTCTAGTGTTACAAGACAGCATCTATGTAATTCCAACAATGTACAACAAATAGAGCTGAGTTACAATAAACAAAAGTATAAGAAAAAGGAACCGATTGTAACTAATTATAATAGTTACCTTATTATTACTGTCTCAGAAGAAAATATATAAGCCCTTTCCACTTCAAGGGCTTTTCTGATAACTATTTTGAATAAATGGACAAGGGATAACAAAATGACCAGTACTGGATGTTGAAACACAGAGAAACACATACTGTTTGTATTGTGGGTAGAGGAGTCAGAGATGCCTTTAATACATTCCCGCTCTACTGCTCATTATGTCTGTATCTATGGGCAAGGTACTTCCTCTGAGTTTTAGTTCAATCATGGTATCTACGTTATAAAAACTATGAAAATTCGGTGAGATAATGCTAGTAGTTGTGTACTATTCCATGTACTCAAGAAAACTACCTCTATATTGATATGCTAGTTCTGTCTATTCTTATTCTTACAGCATAGCTTGCCACACTCTGCTCTTTTCTCCATTCCCCTCACCTAAGAAAGTCTATTTCTCTTCCCATAAGCAATGCACATACATATAAATATATTTAGTGGACTTGAAGTGTCCTGGAATGTTAGTAGATAATTAGCAATTTGGGAGATCTTTAAACTGGTGACACTATCTCAATAGCCCTTTGCCTAACCCAGGATATTTCCTGCTAAGAGTATTAGAATTATAGTGCTGATAGGGATTTATCAATAGATACATAACACAAAGCAAAAGAGAACATGTTCACCATTTTTGACAAACTTCATAGATGTCTTGAGCCGAGCGATACTAATATCCAGTTGTCCAACAAATGTCCGGTATCTTCCACAATCACAGACAGTACCTTTTAAATGATGAAAACTGTAAACTCGTTGAAGTACATGCAGATCAGTGGAAAGGAATATCTGCTCTCTTTCCAATACTCACTATCTTTTTCCAGTCTGGTTCTATATACCTGTGAATGGCTATACTTTAAACCTTCTATTTAAAATAAGGTTTCCAATTTCCATTATTTATAGAATTTCAGAAAATATCTTTGTAAATGTTTTGAATGAGCTATAAGAAAATTCTAAGCCAGATATTTAAAAGAAGAATACATATGACAAACCACTGCCTGCACTTTTTGGACCATTTGGCATCTTTGTTGAACACAGAATGTGTCTGCCCAATCTCAGAATAAAATTTTTACAGCTTCCTTAAAATGTATTTCCTGCTCTCTTGTGTTATTGCATTATTCACTAGATCACACAGGTTTACCAGGACAGAAGAAACTTTTCACAATTACACTAAATGTTAATTCTAATTATCCATTTTAAAATATAGCTGCAAGGACAAAGTTTAAATCACATAAATAGATCCAACTGACATTTTTAAAAGCTAGTTGCTCAGTTTGTAGATTAACTATGGTTTTATTATTTTTTTTATTTTTGAGATGGGGTCTTGCTCTGTCACCCAGGCTGGAGTGCAGTGGCACAATCTTGGTTCACTATAATCTCTGCCTCCCGGGTTCAAGCGATTCTCCTGCCTCAGCCTCCTGAGTACCTGAGACTACAGGTACACATCACTACACCCAGCTAATTTTTGTATTTTTAGTAGAGACAGGATTTCACCCTATTGGCCAGGTGATTAACTAGGATTTTAATATGTCTTTTATTCTTTGCAAACCTACCTTGTCAACGACCTGCAAATATTGCTGTGACACAGAGGGAATTAAGAGGAAACACATGTAAAATTCAAATGGTTCCTTTTTTTCCATTTAATAGCTGCTATACATAAACATTTCAGTTTTTGTTACTTTGGTTGCTTGAAAAGTAAAAATAATTTTATTAGCCAAAGGAAAATATCTATGGCCTTATTTATCCATATTCATACGAAATATAAAGAATGTCAAACAGTTCTTAGAATTGTCTTCACCATAACCCTGTGGATAGAAACAATTGAAATTATCAAAGAACAGTCTACTTTCTTTCCCTGTGTAAAGCACTGGGAATAAAGCTCCAGGAGAATACCCCCAGATAATAAAAGCATGTTCTGTAACCAGGGGCCTGTCTGTATCAGATGAGGTTTGCACAGCATGCACTCTGATGGCCAGTATTTGGTTAAGATACAAGTGAAAGGCAAGGCATGGCATGCTTATGCAAGGCCTACTGCCAGAGTTTCCTCTTGGCCCAGAAGAATTAGGCTACTTCCTGATATGCTGGGCTTCCTTCTCACAGTAAGCATAGCAGAGATGAAAGTGCCATCATCCCCTTCCCCAGGGCTTAAAAAGTCCCTAGCAGGGAGAGAGGAAAGTCCCCTTCTTCCTTTTCTTCTAGCCTAAGCTAAATAAGGTTAAGCATACTAAAAGGACTCTTGCTTTTCATTTAAAATATATTATTTTTGAGATGAATACATTTGGAATGATGCTAGAAATCAAAGAGAACATTGAGCATATCGTACCTGCTTTGCCTTTTTTTCCAGGTTTTCCAAACAAACCTTTTTCTCCTTTGTCACCTGAATAAAAACAATAGCAACCAAAATAAAATAAAATTAAAATAAAGGAAGGAAGGAAGGAAGGAAGGAAGGAAGGAAGGAAGGAAGGAAGGAAGGAAGGGAGGGAGGGAGGGAGGGAGGGAGGGAAGAAAAAAAGGAGGGAGGGAGGAAACAAGGGAGAGAGGGAAGGAGAGAGGGAGGTAGGCAGGCAGGGAGGGAGGGAGGAAGGAAAGAAGAAAGGAAGGAGGAAGAAAGGAAGGAAAAAGAAAGGGAGGGAAGGAGGAAGGAAGAAGTGAATTATTTCACATCTAGAGTCAAAGCAGTTTTAAATTTTATTTGCCATATCTATAACTAATATCTCTAATATCTCTTGGTTTTTATAAATAATAAAATTTTCAATTGGCTACACAGGCACAACTAATTAAATGAGTCATAATTTACTTAGATTGAAAGTAGAATTCCAGCAGAGTTTGTAAGGAGCATTTGAATTTGTGCAACCTAACCTACTAACATTTAAAAAAAATAATATGGCCTTCTGAACAAGGCTAATACAATTCTCAGCATGTTTTCAATTTTAAAAATACTGTTGTTTTGTGAATCTCGATCAATTTGCTAGCACACCACAGTGTTTTTGTACTTATGACCCAAGTTATTCCACATGATTTTGCCCTTGGATTTATTGAAAAAAAAACACATGTATTGTGCTTTTTCAATTTAATTAGACAAATAGTTACTATTTACTTACTCTACAAAAGATGAAAGGCTGGGTGCTTTGAAAAAATATACAGAGACACAAGATTCAATCTATGACTTGAAGGAGTTTACAAGTTTTAGAAGTGAAGTGATGTATGCAAATACTAATAATATAAAGGCTTGTCAAATATATTACACTGAAATAATGATCTTGGTACTTTCCCTCTCTGCACTTCTCTATATGTAACCATTTTCTCACTCACAGGCATCCACAAAATAATTCTCAGAGAAGCAGAATTTTTAAAGCAGAGAGAAAGAATAAAACATGTTAACTTTTTTTTTTCAACTTCAGAATAAGCTCTCGAAGCCCACATCAGACACAATAATTGAAAGCAAAAGCTTTTGATTTTCAGGAAGAAATGTTTGGCTGAGGTTCTTGAGAATCAAAAGGGAAGACCCAGACAGAAGTAAAATAGAGTTTATGCTTCAATGGTGATCTGGAAAAAAGAATAAGAAAGAACCCATGAGGGATGGATACAGGATGAAGTTCACCTAGGCTAGGTGTATGGGGCTTACCCTCACAGGAATGTGGTGTGCTCAGGGAATTGGTTATGTGGCCGAAGGAGACAATGCAAAAGGGAATGGAGTTGGCATTAAGGTTCTGCCAAGCCTCATCCTTCATCAGCAACAGAGAAAAAGTGAAAGCTATTCTAAAATCTACAGGGTGTCCCACGTTGCGTGCACTGGGGACACCAATTGGCTTTTCTCATCATTGTCTGATGTGTACTTTTCTTTCAAATTCCCTTACATAGTCACTTTTGATCATTCAGAAGAAAGCATGCCTGCTGGGCCCCCAAGGATTTGTTGAGCCTTTCCAAACTGAGCCATGTGGACACTTTTCTTTAGAGTTGATGCCAGACATTCATGTGCTCCCCAAACAAAAGTTGGGGGTCCTAGAAGACCAGAGTACAGTTTACATGTGCAGAAGGAAGGCCTGGAACTTGTATTTGGATGAAAGGAGACAATGGTGAAATCTATAACAATAGAACCTGAGGCATATTGTGAGAGAGACAGAGACACTGAACAGAGAGATAACATACTCTGAGAGAAAGGCAGAAGAGATGGTGCTTCAAGCGGAATAGTAAAGGACGGCTTAGCATTTAAGCCTGGCTATGAAAACCTTCAGCAACTGAATGAAGGTGGGTGCAAGGTCAGGCTCAAGGCACAGCAGAGAATATAATTGGGAAAAAGACATGAATATGCGTCGTGCACCCTGCTCAGTAATATCAATCTGCTCACATCTTAGCTACCCCTGCAAATTCCTTATTTCTCTTATACGTTAGTTGGAAAAATAAGAATAGATTTTTAGAATATAGTAATGGAAGAAAGGGAATATATATTTTACTAAGTACCAATCAATCACCAAGTATTATTCTGGATACCTTACACATATTATCACATCAAATCCTACGAACTAAGTGTTATTATCTTTATTCTACAACTTGAAGAAGTTGAGGATCAGAGAGGCAAAATAACTTTCTCAAGGACATCTAGCCATTAAATCGCAGTGCTGGTGTTCCAACCCAATGCTTTCTGACTCCCCTTTCATGGTGCTTCCGAATGAGTTAACCAGGGGTTTAATGAAGAAAAGCAAGGTGTTTGAAAAATATTATCAAAAGTTGCAAAGAATGGCAGTCCTCATCCCCATTAAAAACATTATGCACTTAAAAGATTGTATAACTATGGGTTTCATGTTTTGATTTTTAAAAATATTATATTTCCTTTGCATATAAATCTCTTTCAATTCAACATAGATGGAACATTGATTCCAGTTATGCTACAATCCAAGTTCTGGGGTAAGCTTTACAACAGACATAAAAGAAGTATAAATAGAGTGCTTCGGGAAAATGATGGGCTTTTAAGGAAAGCAAAACACACACCAGAGAACAAAGAGATGAGACACTATCATGTACTATAGAGTGAAATAAGTGAAAAGCCTGGTAGGAATTTAGAAAAAAAAAAGATGGTGTGGATCAGAGTAGAGAAGGCTTCACTGAAGCAGTAGGCCTTAGTTAGAACTTAATAATATAGGAAACAGTTTCTTGAATTGGCATTTGGCTTTTTTTTCTGAGAAGATGTAAACTCTGTAACTATTTTCCAGTATTTTGGCATGAATACTTTTCATTTCATGACAAATGGGAACAGCAAAGCAGTGTGGTGCAATAAAAGATCATGAAAGCTCCCCCAAAACCAGTGTTTGAATCCTAGCTTTGCCACTTACTGGCAACACATGGAGAGGTTAATGAAGTTCTCCAAGCCTCCTTTCCTTTATTTTAAAAGTAGAAATAATTAGTACCTAAAATTATAGGATCATTAAGGAGAATATAATTAGGTATAGTAATATTTTCTTATGATGGGATTAGCATTTGGCTTGACTCACAGAGAATTCTCAACCAATGTTAGCTTCTGTTTTCTGAATCTGAGTTATGGTAAAGGAATGCATGCCAAGCACTTAGCCAGCTTATGGAGGATTTGAGCCTAGAATATCTATTTCCCCAAAACAAATTATGATTTAAAGTCATCCACAAAAACTGATTTTGGCCCATGAGTGGGAACATGTTTGTAATGACTGCCTGAAAGTTAAAGAATTAGAGGTCACATTCAGACAAATAAAAACGTCATAATGCTTTCAGTGTAAATGGATTATTGACCCTAAATAAGAACATTTACTTTCCCATGAGATGGAATTTACCTATACTAAATCAGGATTACTTCTTACTCCTAAAATGAAATATTGACATCCAGAAAGCTACCCTATCCATGCAAGTGACAACATTTAAGGTCAGCCTAGAAAGTTGAGATTAATCTGAGTCAGTAAAAAATTTAGAAAGGCAATCACCAAAATGAGGACAATAAATTTCAAAGTATAGATTAAAAATGAAATTAATCCAAGTGAGCCGGAACATTGCATCTCTATTTTTTTAAAAAATTTCAGGACATGCTCATAAATTTGATGGTGTATCTCTGGAGGAGAAGAAAATCTTGGTAGCCAATGGTTGAAATTGGTATTAAGGAAAAGTGGTATTTATAGGAATAAGAAGCAGTAAAGAGAGACATATTATAAGAAATAATGTTTTATTATGCAGTTTTTCATGCCTAATGCAACAAACGAGGTCAGCAGATCGGGACCATCCTGGTCAAGATGGTGAAACCCCGTCTCTACTAAAAATACAAAAAATTAGCTGGGCACGGTGGTGCGTGCCTGTAATCCCAGCTACTCGGGAGGCTGAGGCAGGAGAATTGCCTGAACCCAGGAGGCGGAGGTTGCCGTGAGCCGAGATTGCGCCATTGCACTCCAGCCTGGGTAACAAGAGCGAAACTCCGTCTCAAAAAAAAAAAAAAAAAACTCTTGAGCCTTTCTGGTCTTCATCATTTACTTTGCTCCCAAGTTACTTAGTCTTATTTTACTCAAGGGTTAAGACTGTGCACAAGATCATTAGCTCCAACTCTTCTAGATAAAAATCTCATCCAGACTGGACACATCTAAACCTAGGGAATAGCCAGTAACTCAGTGCTATCTATTGATTAGGTTGTGACTTCCATTAAAAACTAGTGTCAACTTTGTATAAATCAAGTTTGTTAGTCTGTTTCTGAACTCTTACTTTCTACTAATTAATTTGTCTCTGCATGAAATTATACTATTCTAATGGTTTAGTTTCCAAATAAATGTATAAATTCAGTAATTTAAGTCTTGCACCTTGTTTTTATTTTTCATTTTTTCAAGACTGTCTTGGGTATTCTTGGTCATTTTCATTTACACATATATTCTGAATTGGCTTATCAATTTCTAAAAGAACACTTCTGGGGCTTTTTGATGGAATCTCACTCTGCTGCCCAGGGTGTAATGCAGTAGCAGGATCTCAGCTCACTGCAACCTCTGCCTCCCAGGTTCAAGCGATTTTTTTCACCTCAGCCTCCTGAGTAGCTGGGATTACAGGCACATGCCAACACACCTGGCTAATTTTTGTATTTTTAGTAGAGATGGGGTTTTACCATGATGGCCAGGCTGGTCTCAAAATCCTGCCCTCAGGTGACCCATCCACCTCAGCTTCCCAAAGGGCTAGAATTATAGGCATAAGTCACAGTACCTGGCCCACTTCTGGGATTTTGATTGAGGTAGCATTGAGTCTATAGACCAATTTGAGAGAGAACTGGCATATTAACAATATTGAGGCTTGTAAGCCATTAATATAGTTTTACCTTCATTTCTTAGATATTCTTTAAATTCTTTCATTGTTATGTGGAGTTTATTGTGGAGGGCTTGTAACTTTTGTTGGATTTATTTTCACATGCTTACTTATTTTTAACACTATTATAATCGGTCTTTTATTTTCATTTTTGAATTGTTTCTATGTAGAAACAAAATTAGTTTTTGAATGTCACGCCATCTAAAAAACTTATAAATACTCATAGATTATCTGTAGATTCTTTTGTACTTTCTGAGTATGCAATCATGTTTTCCACAAATAATGATGCTCATATTCCTTTATTTTCAATTATTATAATTTTTATTTTATTTTTTTCCATTTTTGCTCTGGCTAGGACCTCAGGCATAATGTTGATTAGAACTGGTGATAGAGGGCTGCACTAATTTCATTCCCAGTCTCAGGAGATAAGTGTTCAGTGTTTCATTATGGAGTATAATTTTTAAGTAGATTTTTGTTGTTGTTGATATTCCTTTTCAGATTATGTTTCCTTCTATTTCTAATTTTCTAACAGTTTTTAAAAGCATGAATAGGTATAGGTTTAATTTACGTGTTTTCTGGAGTGGGGTTTCTGGAGTTCTAACTGGGAATATGGGGGCATTATCCTGGGCCATTCCTCTTTGGCAGGCCTTAAATATCAATCCAGTTTGAGCAACTTTGTGCTCAAGCCTCTTAGCCTCCTAGGGCTACCACACTTATGAACTGGTGAACGGCTTGGGAAGACGGTATTGCAGAATGCATAGCTGACCTTAGTATGATTCCCTCCTCCTCCAGATCAAGGCACCTAAAGTTCTGTTCATTTTGGTTGCACTGTTATACCTTCAAATATGAATTTAATTTTTTTATTTGGATCCAGCTAGTCACACTTAGCAGAAGGATTAACATAAGGTAGGCAAATCCCTCATGGCCTATAGCAGAAGTCTGAATTTTGTCTTTATTAGTAGCAGTGTCACATATTTCTTTCACCTTTATAACTTGTTATTGGTAATATACTTAAATTAATAATATTGTCAATTTGGGGATTATACCTCTATATAGTAGTTTTCATATATAAGCTGTTAGATTTGGAAACATTTTTTTCCACAGACTAGCTCTGGCCCTGTATATTTCAAACATTGCTTCTTTTCCACAACCCACACATTTTGTGTGCTGGATGCCCTAGGACACACTGACATGATCGTCTGACCTCTGGCTCAGCACTTTTGCATCCTGGCCTTGGATAGAGCTGCACAGTAAGTGGTAGGAATATTCTTGGAAGCTATTTCTACATTGGGATTGCTGGCAATGAGCATACATGGGAGTCAGGTCAAACTACATAAAGATATCTCATTAACTCCAAGCTAAATGTTTCTTCCTCAAACTCCTCTTAGCTAGCTCCAAAGATTCTTATCCATTTCAAAACTACTGAGTACAAGAAGGATGATGAAGAGAATAGGAACAGAAAGAGAGAGAAGTCTTAACATGTGCTTTCTCAATGGGGTGGTATCACTCAGGATGCAGAGTTAGTTTTTAGGGGGTAGAATTGTACTCATTTAAAAATATATAAAGCACAAACATACAGAGAATACATAAACAAATATATCACCCATGGGTGGTATTAAAAATTCATGGGGAGGGCAATGAGAAAAGAGATATGTCTAAAAAGCTTTTTGGGGGAGTAGTAACTTTAAAAAATGTTAAGAAGCACTATTTTAATCATTTGAGGTGAATCTGTCTTATTTTACAATTTTTTTTGAGGTATATGGCCATGTGAACCCATTGCTCAGGCTTTTATCAGCATCTTTGGAAGGACTGAAACAAATGAGGACTCTTCATGGTAAACCCATCACAAACACAAACTGCGGCAGGACTTCTGAACCATGAGAAGCTCACGTTGCTATTCCCCAGCTTGAGGATTTCAATCACAGGGAAAAATACAATATAATCCATCAGATAAAAACACCCATAGCAATTTTTCTTCAGTGGCACTACCCTTCATCCCTGTCTCCAAATGCAGGCTGAAGGGAATTTCTCAAATGAGTGAGCTGGAGAGTGGAGAAAGAGGGAGTACTGAGCCGCAGGATGAGAAGAGAGAGGCTACAGCCTAAGCTCAGACCGTAGTCTGTCAACCTGCCTGCCAAGACGTTCCACTGGACAAGTGAGGCACATGCTTAATTATGCTGCTGCTCAAGCATTTACGAAAAGATGGAGGGTACATCAAGGCTGCAGAAATTTTGTTACCCATGGCACTGAGCTTCCCCTAATCTTTTTTGTACAAGCATCTCTTACATCTCTCTCTAGTGCCTTTTGCCTATTTCCATGTTACTATACTTCAAGACCTAGGTCTGTTCTTTCACATATTAGTCTTGCCTTACTCTCCAATATGGGTCCTGCAGTAGTCAGGCTATTCAGTATTATAATTCTTTCTTTTTCCCTTTGAGATAGTCTCACTCTACCTCCCTGGCTGGAGTGCAGTGGCATGATCCTGGCTACTGCAATCTCTGCCTCCCAGGTTCAAGCGATTCTCCTACCATAGACTCCTGAGTAGTTGAAATTACAGGTGTGCTCCACCACACTCAGTTAATTTTATATTTTTAGTAGAGATGAGGTTTTGCCACGTTGGCCAGGCTGGTCCCAAACTCCTGAGCTCAGGTTATCCACTCGTCTTGGCCTCCCAAAGTGATGGGATTAAAGGGATGAGCGACTGTGCCCAACCTCTAATTCTTTATTTATTTATTTATTTTATTATTATTATTTTTTGAGACAGAATCTTGCTCTGTGACCAGGCTGGAGTGCAGTGGCATGATCTTGGCTCACTGCAACCTCTGCCTCTTGGGTTCAAGAAGTTCTCCTGCCTCAGCCTCCCGAATAGCTGGGACTACAGGCATGCACCACCATAGCCTGCTATTTGCATTTTTAATAGAGATCAGGTTTCGCCACGTTGACCAGGATGATCTTGATCTCTTGACCTGGTGATCTACCACCTTAGCCTCCCAAAGTTCTGGGATTATAGGCATGAGCCAGACCTCGAATTATTTTTGAGAAAGTTCTATCTTCCTGAATAGTCTTTGAATCTCTTGCAATGAAATTTTATTTTCATTCAGTTTTATATCTCTGAACCAAGAAGAACAATGCTTGCTTAAATTACTGAATATCAGAAGCAATTAGAACCTGCTACCACATTGTGGAGCTTTGTGGGAGGAGGATAAGGAAGGACTGCTTAGACAATCCAGAGGAGACTATCTCTGTTTTCTAATATTCAGGCTTTAGTGATGTATAAGATCAGGACCTGACTGAAGTCAAATGGGTATCCACATACATGCTTCAAGTTTCTATCCTGTTAATATATCATAGTCACAGAAATTTTGGTTATTTCACTCAGATTAAAAAATAAAATTTTACAGTCTTCTGCCTACTTGGTATTTTATGAATAATCATGTATCAATAATTTGTAGTCAACCAGTAGATCCCAGGAGACAATTCAGTATAAAGACTGTCAGATCTTGATGCTTGATTCTGTTCCTGAAATCTTGTTTCATTCTGTTCTAAATACTTTTCTTTTTTTTTTTTGTTGAGCTGTGAGACACATTGCTTATATATGGAAGAAAGAGCCAAACTATAAAGACAAAGATAATTCATATTTTAAAAGAAGAAAAAGGAGATATTTTCATGATACAAAATCTTAAAACGATTAAAGGTATCCTCAATTTGCTTCATTTATTATTTAATTTGGAGACAGGGTCTTACTCTGTCACCCAGGCTGGAGTGCAGTGTTGTGATCACGGCTGACTGCAGACCCCAACTTCTGGGCTCAGACGATCCTTACACCATAGCTTCCTACGTAGTTGGGACTATAGGTGTGTGCCACCATGCCCAGCTAATTAAAAAAGAAATTTTTTTTTTAGGTACTGGGTCTTGCTGTGTTCTCCAGGCTTGTTTTGAATTCTTGGCTTAAAGGTATCCTCCCACCTTGGTCTCCCAGTGTTGAAATTATGGGTGTGAGCCACTGCACGGGCCTCAATTTGCTTTGATTTCCTACTGGAGAATAGTAAGATGCAACTTACCCTTCTTGCCGATAGGTCCAGTCTTGCCAATATTGCCCTGATCTCCTATATCACCCAGTTCTCCTTTAATTCCTGAAAAGCAAGCATGTAATCTTTTTATCAAGAGGTTTTATCTTCCCTTCAAATGTGGCTAACGTGATATTCACTTGAAAGAAACATCAAAAAGTGTATTCTACCTGTGATATGTAATATGTAGCCCATGCTATATTATCTATTTTAACAGAGTTATAATGTATGTATTAAAATTAAAATGTGAGAGTAAGAATATATACTAGGGACATGATGATATTAAAATACTTTCTAATGTAGTATTTCTAGAATGACTATGGCAGAGGATGTTTATAAGAAAGGTTAGAGGAGGGCCGGGTGAAAGTATTCTTGACCTGATTCTGGTTTCATTCTCCTCAAGCTCCATTTTGTTATACTTCTAGAATCCTATTTCTTCTCTCTTTTAAAACAAGATTTGACAATCATGCCACTTAAAAAAGGATATGAACAGACACTTTACAAAAGAAGATATACATAAGGCCAACAAACATATGAAAAAATGCTCATCACTGGTCATTAGAGAAATGCAAATCAAAACTACATTGAGATACCATCTCACGCCAATTAGAATGGTGATCATTAAAAAATCTAGAGACAACAGATGCTGGAGAGGATGTGGTGAAATAGGAACACTTTTACACTGCTGGTGGGAGTGTAAATTAGTTCAACCATTGTGGAAGACAGGGTGGCAATTCCTCAAAGACCTAGAAATAGAAATTCCATTTGACCCAGCAATCCCATTACTGGGTATATATCCAAAGGACTATAAATCGTTCTACTATAAGGACACATGCACACGGATGTTCACTGCAGCACTGTTTACAATAGCAAAGACCTGGAATCAACCCAAATGCCCATCGATGATAGACTGGACTTGGAAAATGTGGCACATATACACCATAGAATATTATGCAGCAATCAAAAATGATGAGTTCGTGTCCTTTGTAGGGATATGGATGAACCTGGAGAACATCATTCTCAGCAAACTGACACAAGAACAGAAAATGAAATACTGCATGTTCCCACTCATAGGCGGGTGTTGAACAATGAGAACACATGGACACAGGGAGGGGAGCATCAAACACTGGGGTCTGTTGGGGGGAATAGGGGAGGGACAGCAGGGGTTGGGGAGTTGGGGAGAGATAGCATGGGGAGAAATGCCAGATATAGGTGAAGGGGAGGAAGGCAGCAAATCACACTGCCACGTGTGTACCTATGCAACTATCTTGCATGTTCTTCACATGTACCCCAAAACCTAAAATGCAATTAAAAAAAAGCTTGAAAATACTAACTGCCAATTATTTACTTTGAGATGAATTCTCTTTTGTAATTTTCTCTGGTTTTATTAAAGTTTGTTCCTTAAATCTCAAAAAAAAAAAAAAACAGGTCAGGGAACATGCAGTCATAAAACCTATTTATCAAAGAAGCATCAGACATGGTCCTGCTGAATTTTCATCCAAAAAAAAACTGTGGTCAGGAATCACTGAGTTCTTCTAGCATTATTTCTATTTATAAAAATCTAAAAAATATTTGCCAATTAAAACTCTTTATTTTATAAGAATGTTTTTGTAATTGACATACATGTTTATAGATAGGGTTAAGTCAGCATTTTCCAAATTGAGGTCTCACAGATCTGTGAATCTCTCTTCCTTTTAAATTATTCAAGATTTTGAAATAAGTGGTCTAGGGCAGTCCTCTTGCAGCAGTGGGTGAGAAATATCTCAAGTGTTCCAAAGGTGCGCACATACCCATCACAAACCAGAAGCTATATTTTGGTGAGGCTGATGCCCGGCTTTGTGAGTGAAGACACTTCCTTATCACCTCTGTGTTACTCTCTTCATCTTTGATCCCACTCCTCCATACTCCCACCATTTTTCCACTGTGTTATTCTTTTGTGTTAAAAAAGGAGAGAATTAAAGAAATAAAGAGATCTTAGGGAAAGGTGAATAGATCAATGAATCAGGTAGCTCTTTTTGTTTCTTTTTATTTTCCTCCTTAAGCTCTATGCCAGCTAAAAAAAATACTGCTTAGCATTGGCTTCAGAAGGAAGACACAACTGTGAACATAGCTCTATAACTCATCGTTTCTTAAATATTCTCAACGACTGCTTTTTCCTGGGGCTCCCAGTGTACCACCCCAGCCAGCCCTAAGAACGCAACTTGAGAAAGTTGTCAGTCTGGTTGACAGGTAATCTCAGAGGGGCACTCAGAGGGCGACTTAATTCATGTGTGAAATAGATTTCAGGCATCATTGGGGCAGAGGGCATTGTGAAAGCTGTTAATTTCCGGGGCAAGGGCCAGGAGAGAGAGAAGAGCAATTATGATATTAACATGTCAGTTTCATATAATTTTAGTTACCTTTTGGTCCCATGGGTCCCACTTTTCCATGCGTTCCCTCTTCTCCTGGATCTCCTTTTTCGCCATCATCTCCTTTTGAAACAGAAAATGAGAGTGAAGCATATCAAATAGTAATATGAGCACATTCTCCCGGGGTAATGTGGACATGGTTACAATCCTTCCCTGAGCTCAGCACTTGCCTCACAGCCTGGCTGGGAGTATGGGCGTGTATGTTCACATGGACTTGACACTCAGGTGAAAGGAAGAAACTTCCAGTATATTTTATATTTTACTTTTCTCCACATTCAACTGTATGTGTGAAGAAGTATTTTTGTTTCTGAATTGAGATGTTTGGCCTGGCAAATCTTTATTCTTGCTGTAGAATCTAGCAAAGTCTGGAGGGACAATAGGCATAAAATGTATATATACACATACACACACATGTATAACTTATTACTCTCTGACTGCATGCTTGGGAACCCCAAAATTGTAGGCATGACCTAAGAAGCTAGGAATAGGGAAGCCGCAAAGCAGTTTTCTGTGAGCAGCAACTCTCTTAATCATAGGCAAGTGTAGCTCCAGACCTTGAAGAATTAAGGATTGAATGAAGGGTTTAACGAACAATGCCCAGACTGAAAATCAGGAGTCTTAGATTTTAATACCATGTTAATCACTGATGGGTTGAACAGATCTTCAACAGGCCAGTGATTGAGTTTATCGACTTTGGACTAGGTCAGATTTGACTGAAGCCTCAGTTCTACCACCCACGAGCTGGAGAAATCTGAGTGCAAAACTTCCCTCTCTGTCTTGCTTTTCTCTGCAGCAAATTGATCTAATAACACCTACTGGAGTGGGCTTTTAAGAAGTTCAAATGAGACAATAGACAAAGAACGCTTAAGATACAACCAGTGCTCAGCAATGATGGTTGACTTTTTTCTTTCTTTATGCTTCCTTTCCTAAATGTGGGGATAGAATCTGCTCTCCACACCTCACTCAGTTGATTTTGGATCAACAAGGTGAGCATGTAAATGTGCTTTGAAAAAACACATACAATATTCTGACCATATACCTGCATTGTCACTACAGCAATCTCAGGGCGGGAAAGAGCCCTGTCCATCAGCAGAGGAAAGGAGGAGAAGCAAAACCTTCTAAAGACAAAAATGAAGTTCTTGGGATTAGATGATTTGAGTGAGAGAAAGTTGTGATGTTAATTGACTTAAGCACTACCAGAAATTTTTTCTTTTTAATTTTTCGGAGTGCAGAATGTTGAAATTTTAAGTGAAAGCAGGCGTAATATATGAAAGAGTTGGATTTCCAGGCTGTGAGACTGATCAAATATTGGAATACTTTACAAGAGAAGTTATAGATGCTTCCTAGGATAGCAAAAAGAATGCACAGGTGATATCTGTGTTCAGACCAGAGAGGAGAATTGGGTGAAATAGATGGATGACTTCCTGCCTGCCTGCCTGACTTCCTGCCTGCCTTCCTGCCTTTCCCTCCCTCCTTGCCTCCCTTCCCCCCTCTCTCTCTCCCTTCCTTCCTTCCTTCCCTCCTTCTTTCCTTTCCTTCCTTCCCCTCCCTCCCTCCCTCTCACCCTCCTCCCTGCCTTCTTGCTGTCCTGGCTTTCCCTCCCTTCCTCCCTCCCTTCCTTCTTTCCTTCCTTCCTTTCTTTTCTTCTTTCCCTCTGTCCTTCCTTCAATCCTTCCTTCCTTCTTTCCTTCCTTCCTTCCTTCCCTCCTCCCTCCCTTCCTTCCTTACCTCCCTCCTTCCTTTCTTTCCCTCCCTTCCTCCCTTCCTTTCCTTCTCTCTTTCTCTCTTTCTGACAGTGTGTTTCTCTGTCATCCAGACTGGAGTGCAGTGATGTGAACACAGCTTATTGCACCCTCAACCTCCTGGACTCAAGTGATCCTCCTGTAAATGGCATTTTTCTAGCTAAATTTAATGGCAAGTGTCTATCGAGCAATTATGTCTGCCAAGCACAAGCTAAGAACTTGATATGTAGTCATTATATCAATTCTGGGAGAAGGAAAATTATTGCTTCATTTTATGAATGAAAAAAATGAGACTATGTGGTTGTTTGCCTATTGTCATAGAGCTTGTTAGGAGTCAAATGAGGATTCAACAACATATACGTTTCTATCCCTCTAGATTCCTTGGGGTATACAGCTGTCCCTTCTGGCCTAGGTTCTATGACTTCAGCAGATGGTGAATTTTCCAGAACTTGGCACTCTGCCAAATTTTTCATGGAGAAAAAGGGAGCTGCAGAAAAAATGATAGTTTCTGTTTCCTTTTAAACAAGAAATTTGATGGGAGAAAAGAAAAAAAAAACCCAGCTTATTACTTAATGACTTTATTCACAGGAACATATCATTGGGGGTAGGGTAGCATAACTGAGACACCACTTTGCCATTCACTGAGGGACTTTGGGAAGTCTTTTAACTTTTCTGAGCTTTTTTTCATGTATTCATAGAATAGACAAAAATCACACGTTTTTTTTCCAGAGTATTTTTAGCAAGGGTAAAGCTAGAAAAGTATTTTCCTTCCGGAAGCCCTTCCTAACACTCCTGGACTGGGCTAAATTCTCCTTCTAATTATCTTTGTTGCCTAAAAATATCACTTTATACCAAATGTATCAGTATATCTCCACTCATTTCTTACATCTCTCTGTGGCTGAAAGCAATGTGGGATCATAAGTGATTTATTCTAGCAGCTCCAGAATTTAGCACAGTGCCCGGCTCTGGCGTTTAATAAATGTAGTTGAACTGAGTATACTTTGTGTGAACCATAAGACATTCTACAAATATAATAATAGTGTTTATCGAATACTCCGTGCCAAAAATGTTCTTAGCCCTTGACATGCAATCTATCATTTGATCCCCACAGCAAACTTTGAGATGGATACTATCCTTGGCTCCATTTTACAGAAGAGGAAATGGGGTCACAGAGAGGTTAAGTAGCATCCAGGGTCACATAGCTCATAAGTTCTAAACCCAGGATTCAAACCAGGTGCATTCGTCTTCCAAGTTCATGTTCCAAACAAGCTGGATGATTTAGAACAAATTCCTGCCTTAGCATTTCTGGGTCTTGGATTGCTTTTCTGTACAATGGGACTAATGATGCATGTCCTGCTCATGAAAAGGCAAGAACAGAAACAAGCATGTTTGTGAAGGCCCTTGAGAATCAGAAAGCCACACAGATGTGAATTATTGGTGACATTATTCTTTCCCCTTCCTTCTTCCCCTTCTATAAGCTTCCCCATTCGTTTTCAAGCAAGTGTCTAACTGGAGGCAGCGGGGTGGGTGACTTAGTCATCTACTGCTCCCTGGTGGTTCTGATGGAGATCTTGAGGGAGAAGTAGTATTATTTATTATTCTTTGATCCATGTGACTGCATCCCAGCCTGGAGGTCAAGCAGGCTGCTGGCAGAAATGAAATAAACAAGTTGTGTCCTTGCCTTCAGTGTGGGTCCTGGTTTGTTTGATCTTGGGAACTTGCTTTAATGAGAACTGAAGGGAGATATAAAATCAAGCTTGTGATAGGGCCCCCCACCTACCTCACAGTTGTTTTTATCTTCTTGGTGATAGTTTATTGGATGAGTAGGACAATTTAGACTATTTGACTTCATTTAGAAATAGCCACTTGTATTTGAAAATTAATAGCTGTAAAAGCTATTATTTTCACTTGCATTTGAAAATGTCTATAAAGCTATAAACTGAAATAAACTAATTTAAATTTTGCAAAAATTATTTGCCTTGCCTACCTGCCCTCCCCAAGCCACCAGCAGAGTTCAAACAGAGCACACATTTGACCACATTTTCTTATACAGGATCTTCCCCCCCCCCCAGTTAGCAAAAAGTCTTTTAAAATTGAATTCTAGTTGAAATTCAGGCTAGTATCCTTTACTCAAAGGAAATACTTATTTAAAAGTAGTGAATTTGTTTTGGAGATGCTAAAAATAATGAACTAAAATTATTTTCCCATTGTCAGAACAATCTTATAGATGGGGAAGAAGTTGTTAGTAAACTCTCCTGATCAGCCTTAGAATTGAATGGGATAGGCCAGGTGCAGTGGCTCATACCTCTAATTTCAGCACTTTGGGAGGCTAAGGTGGGGGGGATTGTTTGAGGTCAGGTGTTCAAGACTAGCCTGACCAATATGGTGAAACCCTGTCTCTACTAAAAATATAATAATTATCTGGGCGTGGTAGTGGGAGCCTGTAATCCCAGCTACTTGGGAAGCTGAGGCAGGAGATCACTTGAACCTGGGAGGTGGAGGTTGTAGATGGCACCACTGCACTCCACTCCAGCCTGGGTGACAGAGTGAGACTCCATCTCAAAACAAATAAAAAAGAATTGAATGGGATAGGTGGTATGTTGTGCTTCCTTAACAAGGTAAAAACTCCACCCTAAAATATATCCTTCTTACCCCTACTTACATCTTCTTTCCATCTATGACAATTGCATCCTCATTCTTAGAAATTTGAGTAGTCATCAATTATTCCCCATGTCTCTCACATACATGGCATGTACCAGTAGAGTCATAAAAGAAACCACTCCCTAGTATTTTACTTCTCTCACAGCCTCATCACTTCACTGAAATATTCAGGCCTCATTGGGACCTGCTATTGTTTGCCTTCTCCCCATTCACCCATTTTACCATTCCATTGGTGTCTTCAACCGCCCAACCTGCCTACCCCTGCCTATCCTGAATTCTTTCACATCAGCCACTTCTGCACAGCTTTCCCTAAGGCAAAGAGAGTGCACTGCCTTGGTTAAGAGTACTCTGAAACAAGTCATCTCTTTTCTTCAAGTCTCAGTTTCTCACATAAATGGAGAGAATAATTTCAACCTCATAGGATTGCTGTGGATTAATGGAGATAATGGATGGAAGTGTTCAACACCATGCGTGGCTCATTTGGTAAACTCCAGTTTCTGCTTTAATGAGAACAGAAGTAGATAAGTGGCAATTTCTTCCTATTCACTACCTCAGTCTTCATTATATAATTATTGCATAATGATTATATCTTTACTCTTTTACTTGGCTGTGTGATGTTTGACCCTTTATTGTAAAACTTTTCACATAATTAAAGATAAA